ATATATGCAAAATTTTCTTTATCCAGTCTATCATTGATGGGCATTTAGATTGGTTCCAAGCCCTTGCTATTGTGCACAGTGCCACAATAAATATATGTGTACATTTGTCTTTATAATAGAATGTCTTATAATCCTTTGGGTATATACCCAGTAATGGGATTGCTGAGTCAAATGGTATTTCTATTTCTAGATCCTTGAGGAATCGCCACACTGTCTTCCACAATGGTTGAACTAATTTGCACTCCCGCCAACAGTGTAAAAGCATTCCTATTTATCCACAGCCTCTCCAGCATCTGTTGTGTCCTGATTTTTAATGATCGCCATTCTAAGTGGTGTGAGGTGGTGTCTCATTGTGGTTTTGATTTGTATTTCACGAATGACCAGTGATGATGAGCTTTTTTTCATGTTTGTTGACCACATAAATGTCTTCTTTTGGAAAGTGTCTGTTCATATACTTTGCCCACTTTTTGATGGGGTTGTTTTTTTCTTGTAAAGTTGTCTAAGTTCTCTGTAGATTCTGGATATTAGCCATTTGTCTTATGGGTAGACTGCAAAAATTTTTCCCATTCTGTTGGTTGCCGGTTCACTCTTATGATAGTTTCTTTTGCTGTGCAGAAGCTTTTAAGTTTAATTAGAACCCACTTGTCTATTTTGGCTTTTGTTGCCATTGCTTTTGGTGTTTTAATCATGAAGTCCTTGCCCATGCCTATGTCCTGGATGGTATTGCCTAGGTTTTCTTCTAGAGTGTTTATGGTATTAGACTTCATGTTTAAATCTTTAATCCATCTAGAGTGAACTTTCGTATAAGGCATAAGGAAGGGCTCAAATGCCCATGAGTGATAGACTAGATAAAGAAAATGTGGTACATATACACCATGGTATACTATGCAGCCATAAAAAAGATGAGATTATGTCCTTTGTGGGGACATGGAAGCCATCATTCTCAGCAAACTGACACAAGAACAGAAAACCAAACACCGCATGTTCTTACTTATAAGTGGGTGTTGAACAATGAAAGCACATGGACATAGGAAGGAGAACATCACACACTGGGGCCTGGGGGATGGGGACTAGGGGAGGAATAGCAGTGGGTGGAAGGATTGGGGAGGGATAGCATTAGGAGAAATACCTAATGTAAACAGCGGGGCAATGGATGCAGCAAACCATTACCATGGCATATGTATACCTATGTAACAAACCTGCACAATCTGTACATGTGCCTCAGAATTTAAAGTATAATAAATTAATTAATTTTTTAAACAAAGAAATAAATTTCGTAAGGCCATGGTTGCCATAGATATTGTCCTCTGATGGATCCAAGCAAGGTAAAATTGAAAACGTTCTGGAAAAACTTAGCGTTCTAGATGCCATTAAGAATGTTTATGATACATGGGAGAAGGTCAAGATTTCGACATTTAGCAGCAGTTGAGAAGAAGTTGAATCCAACTGTCGTGGATAACTTTGAGGGGTCCAGGAGTTCACTGGAGGATGTAACTGCAGATGTGGTAGAGATAGCAAGAGAACCAGAATTAGAAGCAGAGCCTGAAGATATGACTGAAATGCTACAGTCTTGTGATCAAACTTTAATGAATGAGAAATTGTTTTTTTCTCCATTTATTTATTTTATTGCATTTTAGGTTTTGGGGTACATGTGAAGAACATGCAAAATTGTTGCATAGGAACACACGTGGCAGTGTGATTTGCTGCCTTCCTCCCCATCACCTACATCTGGCATTTCTCCCCTTGCTATCTCTCCCCAGCTTCCCACCCCCCACCGTCCCTCCCCTATTTCCCCCCAACTGACCCCAGTGTGTAGTGCTCCCCTCCCTGTGTCCATGTGCTCTCATCGTTCAACACCCGCCTATGAGTGAGAACATGCGGTGTTTGATCTTCTGCTCCTCTGTCAGTTTGCTGAGAATGATGGTTTCTAGGTTCATCCATGTCCCCACAAAGGACCCAAACTCATCGTTTTTGATGGCTGCATAATATTCCATGGTGTATATGTGCCACATTTTCCCTATCCAGTCTATCGTCGATGGGCATTTGGGTTGGTTCCAGGTCTTTGCTATTGTAAACAGTGCTGCAATGAACATTCGTGTGCACGTGTCCTTATAGTAGAACGATTTGTAATCCTTTGGATATATACCCAGTAATGGGATTGCTGGGTCAAATGGAATTTCTATTTCTATGTCCTTGAGGAATCGCCACACTGTCTTCCACAACGGTTGAATTAATTTACACTCCCACCAACAGTGTAAAACTGTTCCTATTTCTCCACATCCTCTCCAGCATCTGCTGTCTCCAGATTTTTTAATGATCTCCATTCTAACTGGCGTGAGATGGTATCTCAATGTAGTTTTGATTTGCATTTCTCTGATGACCATTGACGATGAGCATTTTTTCATATGTTTGTTGCCCTCACGTATATCTTCTTTTGTAAAGTGTCTGTTCATATCCTTTGCCCACTTTTGAATGGGCTTGTTAGTTTTTTTCTTGTAAATCTGCTTTAGTTCTTTGTAAATTTTGGATATCAGCCCTTTAGAAATTGTTTTTTATGGGTGATCAACTAAAGTGGTTTCCTAAGATAGAATCTACTCCTGGGAAAGATGCTGTGAACATTGTTGAAATGAAAACAAAGGATTTAGAACACAACATAACTTAATTGATAAAGCAGTGGTAGTGTTTGAAGGGACTGACACATTTTGAAAGAAGTTCTACCGGCTGGGCGCAGTGGCTCACGCCTGTAACCCCAGCACTTTGGGAGGCATAGGCAGGTGGATCACTTGAGGTCAGGAGTTCAAGACCAGCCTGGCCAACATGGCAAAACACTATCTCTACTAAAAATACAAAAATTTTCCAGCCATGGTGATGTGTGCCTGTAATCCCAGCTACCTGGGAGGCTGAGGCATGAGAATTGCTTGAACCCAGGAAGGAGACATTGCAATAAGCCAAGACTCTCACTTGGGCAACCAAGTGACACTGGGTTTCAAGAACAAAAAACCCACCAAAGAAATGGAAAGAAAGAAAGGAAGTTCTATCCTGTGTAAAATGCCATCAAACAGCATCCCATGCAACAGAGAAATCTTTAAGGAAAGAAACAGTCAAACAGTGTGGCAAACTTCATTGCTGTCTTATTGTAAGAAATTATCACAGCCACCCCAAAGTTAAGCCCAGTGTTCCCCTGATCAGTCAACTCCCCCTGCCATTCCCATCGAGGCAGGACCCTCCAGCAGCAAGAAGATGACAATTTGCTGGAGGCTCATTAACAACAGTATTTTAAATTAAGGTATGTGCATTTTTTTTTTAGATATAATGCTGTTACATACTTCAGGGTCCACAGAATAGTGTTCCTGTAGCTTTTATATGCACTGGGAAACCAAAAAATCTGTGTGACTCATTTTATTTATTGCAGTGGTCTGGAATTGAACCTATAATATCTTCAAGGTGTGTATATGTTTATATATATACATATATATAGAACATAAAAAATATATATGTACACATATATATTAGCATATTCTGTGATAAATAGTAGGTACACATGATACAGTAGATGCCTTCTTTTCTTTTTTGAAATGGAGTCTCACCCTGTGGCCCAGGCTGGTGTGCAATGGCATGATCTCAGCCCACTGCAACCTCCACCTCCCAGGTTCAAGCAATTCTTCTGCCTCAGCCTCCTGAGTAGCTGAGATTACAGGTGCCTGCCACCACACCTGGCTAATTTTTTTGGAATTTTTAGTAGAGATGGGGTTTCACCATGTAGCTGATCTCAAACTCCTAACCTCAGGTGATCCATCCACCTCAGCCTCCAAACGTGCTGGGATTGCAGGAGTGAGCCATCACTCTTGGCCTGATGCTGCCTTTTCTTGTATGCTGCCACCTCACTGAACTCTTCTCATATATAGGATATCTTCCAAGAAAGCTCATCTATCTCCTTATTCATGTGGTTTCCCAGTTACTTCTTCGTCTTTTCGGTTGTGAATCATAGCATGTTTCCAGGCATGCTTTATCTCCTATTTCCTGCATAAATAATCGTCCCAGATCCAAGAGGCAATGTATATGCAATGGTCCCAGGGCTGGCACAGCACTTAGCTCAGCTTTTAATATGCAGTGTGGTGAAAAGGGGTGTCAGGTTGGGAGAGAAACCTCATCTAACATAGTTCAGGCCACTTACATTCATCTGAAGAGAGAGAAGGGATGCATTTGGACTGCAATTCTGCACCTTATAAATAGACATATATAGCTCTGCATACATTATTAATATGGGCTTTATTGCTAGCTTTATTGAATCCACGATGGGGCTTCTCTCGGGAAGCCACAGAACATAGGAAGATTGCACAGACGCCGGCATTAACCAGGACCACGATATACCAAGCAAATAAGGCTGTGCAAACAGCAGTATTCATGGGAGCTGCATCCTACAATTCAAATAACATAATAACAAATAATGTGCTCAAGCAAGCCCCACAGCTGCCATTTAAAGTATTTTATGCATTTCTTACCCATGTTGCTCATGCTAGCACAAAAGTAGGCAGGGAAAATGTGTTTTAAAGAAGTATCTTAGTACCGCCTGCTGAGCACTACATGAAGGGCCTGCCTTCCTTGGCAATCTCACCTTGCACGGGCCTCTCCCTTCGCTCACTTTGCATCAGATGCCCTGCTTATCCCTTAACAGTCAAAACTATTTCCTATCTCCAGTCCTTGTACCTGGCAGGTTTCTCTGTCCAGAGTGAGTGTTCTCTCTCTCTCTCTCTCTCTCTCTCTCTCATACACACACACACTCACGCAGATGTTCACACATCTTCATGTCACTGTATCTCTCATGCCCTTCTGGTCTCAGGTCAAGTCCAGTCTCTTGTGAGAGTCTTTCTGTCATCACCCAGTCAAAAGTGGAAGCTCCCGTTCATTTTCCATCATTTACCCTGTTTACTGGAAGCACTTACTTTTGTAGGCAATTTTCTTTTTTATTTTTTTTCCTTTTTTTTTTTCTTACCTGTCTCTTCACATCTTTATTATCTGTGTCTTTCTCTAGAACAGGGGTTCCCAAACACCTGGCTGCAAAGCAGTTCTGGCCAGTGACCTGTTAGGAACCGCTGCAGAGCAGGAAGCCAGTGAGCATTATCACCCGAGCTGCACCTCCTGTCAGGTCAGCAGCGGCATTAGATTCTCACAGGAGCGCAAACTCTATTGTGAACTGTGATGAGAGGGATCTAGGTTTTGTATTCCTTAAGAGAATCTTTTTTTTTTTTTTCAGATGGAGTTTTGCTCTTGTTGCCCAGGCTGAAGTGCAATGGTATGGTCTTGCCTCACTGCAACCTCTGCCTTCTGGGTTCAAGCAATTCTCCTGCCTCAGCCTCCCAAGTAGCTGGGATTAAAGGTGCCTGCCCCCGACATCTGGCTTTTTTTTTTTTTTGTATGGGTTTCACCATTGAAAAGTGGGGGTTTCACCATGTTGGTCAGGCTGGTCTCCTGCCACCACACCTGGTTTGGGGTTTTTTGTTTGTTTGTTTGTTTGTTTTGATATTTTTAGTAGAGATGGGTTTCACCATGTTGGCCAGGCTGGTCTCAAACTCCTGACCTCAGGTGATCCGCCCACCTCAGCCTCACAAAGTGCTGGGATTATAGGTGTAAACCACCACACCTGGCCTCCTTATAAGAATCTAATAGTCGATGTAATGCACTTGAATTATCCCGAAAGCAACCCCCTATCCCCCAACTGTGGAAAAATAATCTTCCACGAAACCAGTCCCTGGTGCCAAAAAGGTTAGGGACCTCTGCTCTAGAACATAAACTTCATGGGAGCAAAAATCCTATCTGATTTATGCATCACTGGATATCCAATACATAGATAATATTGGCGGCATGCAGTCAGTTGGCAATAAATATTTGTTCAATGAATACATGAACGAATCAGAATGAATTCCACAACACAACCATCAATGACCAATAGGCTCCTTCATCTTCTTTGTCCACTGTGAATCTGTCCTTGATGTCAACTTCACAAAAGGTAGTGCTCTGCGTGTTTATGGCTGAAAGCGGGAATGGCACTTAGTAGGTCCTCAATAAGCATTAATAAACTGAACGGAACTAAAGTCTGTTTCAGAAGTATTAGGGGGCCTGTGTGGTCCATGGCGGCTCTAGCAGTGTTTTACCCATTTTGTTCCTTTTATACTCCATCTGGGAGAGAATGGAGTTTTGAAGAGTGTGGCTTTCCCCCCGGCTTCCTGTGACTAGAAAATTACCCCTTTGTAAAACTTGGCCAGGGAAGCCCCCATCTTTTATTGATGACAATGACTCTGGGATTATAAATTGCCCCTTACATACAGAATTTAGGCAGTGAATAGATAGTAGGGGCTCAGATTGTTATTATCTGAAAATGTCCAATAATAGCAACCATTCCCCTTGCCTCCCCTGGTAAACATTCACTATTATAAACCATTCACCACTGAGAGGTTCCCCTTAGCCAGATCCTAGTTTAGCAGAGAGTGTGTAACCCAACAGTGGTCAGTAAGACATTAGCCCAGCTAATTTTTGTATTTTTAGCAAAGACAGGGTTTCGCCATGCTGGCCAGGCTGGTCCCAAACTCCTGATCTCAAATGGTCCGCCTTCCTTAGCCTCCCAAACTACTGGGATTACAGGCGTGAGCCACGGCGCCCAACCTTGCCACTGGGTTTTTAAGCTGAGTAGGAGTTAGCAATTAGAGGAAAGAGTAGAGTGTATTTCATTAAAAAAGAGAGCAATAGGAAGAGAGTCATACAGTCTTAGGGAACAGAACCAGGCTCTCTGTTCTGCCGTGAAGATGAAGGCTGTTGGACTTCTGAGTGATAGTGGGGGCCGTTCTGGTGCTTTTCATCCAGGGACAGAGTAATGGTCAAATCCTGCCACCCATTCTTCTCATGTCTTATTTCCCAACAGCAACCTCTACACACAGCAGCCACGTTCCTTTTTCCATTGCTTAGCCAGCATGCCAAATTCAACCTTTGCATAGCTCCAGTGAGAGCTAAGTTGATGGGACAACAAACTTAAATCTCTTTTGAATCTGTGGAATTTGGAAGTACAGAAGGGAACCTGCCCTAACTTACCTACCGTGGCAGAGCAGGGGAAATGGGGCAGAGGGAAGAGGAAGCAAGTGTGTATTTCTGTCTCTTGGGAAGGAGCAGTCATTGCAAGAGGTGGATTACACAGGGTCTCCAAAGGCTCAGGAGCCCCACCAACCAGCACGCATTAACCTGAGCTCTGATTGCACCTGTCAGCAACCCACCTCTTATGTGAAAGAGAAATACTTTAGGAGGATGCTGAGAGATATGGCAGTGTTGGAGAAACATAAAAATTTCACCCTCAACAAAAAAAAAAAAGGTCAAAGACTGAAAGTAGAAAAATGTAAACTTACTTGGTCATGAAAAACCTTCTGATGCCATGAGAAGGAATTTGGACTTGATCACCAGGCTTCCAGCTGCCCGAGCTATGGGAGGAGTTTCAGGAAATGGTAGATACATGATGAGTTGTGAAAAGGCCACTGGGGCAGCAGAGCTGAGAACCAGCAGGAGGAGGTGATGTGGGCAGAGCCTTGCGGATGCATAGTTGGAAGCAAAGTGGGCAAGAATCATGCCCTCCCATCAGGGCCTTTCCTCTCCTCAACCAAATGTTGCTCTTGGATCTTGTGTGGTTCTGTGTTCTGTTAAGACGTCAGCATCAGGCTCCCGGGAGACAGAACCTCTGCTACAAGTAGTAACTGTGATGAATAGTGAGAGCTCTAGATGCCGGCTGGCCATATTTTCCTGTAAGGGGCCACATACTAAATATTTTATACTGTAAGGGCCAAAAGATCTCTTTTGCAACAACTCATGTATGCCAATACAGCACAAAAGTAGACATAGAAAATGCATACGTAGAGGGCTGTGGTTGTGTTCTAATGCAACTTTAGAAATGGTGGCTAGATTGGACCCATGGGATAGCATGCAGTTGTCAGTTTGCAGACCTCTGCTTTGAAAGTGGTCCTGTTTTTACCTCTACCCACCTGGGTGCCCTTGGAAGAACTCCTTAATTCCCTGAGCTTCTGTGTCCTTTTCTGCAAATTGCACATAATACCTCTGATGGAGTTCTATTATGAGGAAGAAATGCAATAATCCCTGTAAAATGTGGGAAGTAAAAAATTTCCTTTTCCAACATAAAACATTTAGCACAATGCTTCACGTGGTAGTGTACCATGCAGTGAGTGGAGTTTTTGTTTTTGCATTGTAGCTGCTGTTGTTTTTCTCGGTTCTATCAGGTGTGATTGAAAATGGAGTCCGTCCTAGAAGCCTGTGGTACTGGAGTGAAAAATGTTCACCAGAGCTGAGTCCGAAGGGAAGATATTCTCTTTCCAGCTGTGTTTTTCTTTAGCTGCAGCTGAGGCTGTTTCTAATTCCTGAAGGACTTGAGCCATTTAAGTAGATGTGATTGGCATTAATTATTAAAAACAATCATTTATTAATAAATAAGAACCTAAGAATGCCTTGCACTTGTTCAGTGCTTTATAGTTTTCTTTTATTTTTGCTTTATTCTTTTCAAAAGGCTTTTAAACTGGGGCACACAGTGTACCGGGAGGCATATGAAAATACGGAAGAAAGGCATCTTCCTAGATTAGCAACCATACTCAATTTGGGGGAGAAAACAACATTATTTTATGTTAAAGCAAACTGGAATATATTATGGTGCAGA